CCAGTCTTAAAGCACATAGCTGTTAGACTGGGTTTCTGGCAGATGGTGAGAGAACTAACAAGAGGAAAACAAAACATACTTGAGCTCATCCTCATTAATCTGCCTTCTGCAAGTGCATCTGTCCATGACTGTATTGGTAATCAGCCACCGCACAGTCCTCATGTAACTGAAGTCCTGCTTTCACACTGAGGATACCTTAATTCATGTTGTGTGTCACTACCAATGTGCTACATGGGAGAGGCTTCAGAAAGTTCCAGTAATTCAAGACTGGGCAATCAGCAGCAGTAGAAATTAATTCCAAATCAATCTGCAACCTTACGGTCTCATATATCTCTGTGTTTGCCATTAGCTTTAAAGCCAAGGGATCCACTCTGGTTCAAAGGACTAGTTCCATGCAAAACAGGATAAGAGGCAAGTGATAGACAGAGCTAAGTGATTCCATAATCAGTGGATCAGATCCAAGCCCTGCAGTCCTGCGACATCTAGTCATGAATGGAAGGCATCATCAACAGTGCTATCAAGTGGCACTTGCTTTAGCAATAAACTGCTCATGGACACTCAACTTGCTTTCTGCCAGAGCCACTCAGCTCCTGACCTCTTGGTTCAAATACAGAAAGAAAAATATGCTGAATTCTCCCGAAGGGAGATGAAGGTGACTGCTCTTGACATCACAGTCACATTGTGGCAAAACCTGTTTGGAGTCATATCTAGTGAAAAGGAAGATGGCTGCAGTTGTTGGAGATCAGTATTTTTGGCTCCAGGACATCTCTGCAGGAGTTCCTCAGGATAGTATTCTATCCCAAACATCTTTAGCTCCTTCATTAATGGCTGTCTCTCCACCATAAGGTCAGAAGTGGGGATGTTTGCTAACGATTGTGCAGTGCTCAGTGCAATATATTATTTCTCTGATATTGAATCGTCCACATCCAAATAGAGCAAAACCTGGCCAATAACCAGGTTGGAGCTGAAAAGTGACAAGCAACATTCATGCCACTCAAGTGCCAGGCAATGAGCATAGCCACATAAAGAAAATCCAACCATTGCTCCTTAACATTCAATGCCATTGCTGTCATTGAGTCCCCCACTAAAACATCCTGGGGCTGCCATTGATCAAAAACTGAACTGGACTCACCATATAAATATACAAGAACTGATCAGAAGCTAGGAAGGCTGCAGTGAGTAACTCAGCTACTGACGCTCCAATAACGCTCATGAAGTTTGACACAATATAGGTTCAAGCAGCCCACTACTTTCATACCCCATCCACAAATAAACAAAGAAACATTCTCTCCCTCCCCCACCAATGTTCAGTAGCAGCTGTGTGCACCTTTCTCCAGATGCACTGCACAAATTTACTGAAGTTCCTATGACCACTACCATCAAGAAGGAAAGAGCAGCAGATACACTGGAAGTTCCCATCCAAGCCAGTCACCACTGTAACTTTGAAATATAGTATGATTCATTCTGTATCACTGGGTCAAAATTATGAAAGACCCCCCCACACCCCACCCCCCGTTCCCCCCCCCCCCACCCCCGCCAGTGGCACTACATAAAATGCTCTGCAGCAGTTCAAGGGGGCAGCTCACCAACACTTTGTCAAAGGCTACCAAGAATGGCAGTAAATACATGTCCAGCTGGTGTTACACACAACCCATAAATGAATCAAAAACTACTGTAAAGGTTTAGGTTTTATTTAACCTGCACTTAAAAGAATTTTCATTGCTCTTGCACGACTCCTGAGGACTGTACAGATAGACAATGAGTGAATGGCAATGGAGAATACATGAATCCCTGGGTTATCTGGTGGCAAGTGATGGTTGAGTTTAGGATGCCCTTGAAACAGTTCTGAGAGATGGATTAATGTCTACCAGAATCAAAGTGTACCTTCTAACTAGTTTTGCTCTACACCTGCCCTTCAGTGTTATTTGTGAGCCACGTTAAACATGAACACTGCTAGGAGCCTCATCTATTTACAATCTATATCAGTGACCTGGATAAAGGCACTGACGGCACGATATCCAAATACATTCATGATACTATGATACATTGGTATGAAAGCAAGTTATAAAGACAACATAAAGATTCTGCAAAGGGATATGGTAAAGTGAAGTAGAAAAAAATTGGTATATAGAATACAATGTGAAGTTATCCATTCTTGGAAAGAAGAGCAGAATGGCACATTTGTTTTTGTTTTTAAACAGAGAAACTGTAGAATACTGCAGTACAAAGGTATCCTTATACGTGACTCACAAAGCATCAGGACGCAGGTTCTGCAAATTTTTGGGAAGGCAAATGAAATGTTGGCCTTTGTTGGAAAGGGGATGGGGTATAAAAATAGGGAAATCTTGCTACAATAGTACATGGATTTGATAAGCCCATATGTAGAGTATTGTTTTGGTCACATTACTAAAGCAGGAACAAAATTGGATTGGAAGCAGTTCTGAGAAGGTTCATTAGGCTAAATCCTAGCGTGAAGGAAAACAAAAAGAGACATTATTGGTAAAACTCAGCAGGTCTGGCAGCATCTGTTGGAAGTAAGTCGAGTTAACATTTCAACTCCAGTGACTCTTCATCAGAATAGATGAAGAAGTTGTTTTAAGATGAAAATTTGAGCAGGTTGGGCCTATACTTGCGCAGTTTAGAAGAATGAGAGGTGATCTGATTGAAATATACAAGATTCTGAGGGGTCTTCGAGGCAGAGTTAGATTTTTAGTTGACAGTGGAGTTAAAAGTTATGGATGCAGGCTGGACATTGAAGTGGAGGCTACAATCAGATTAGTCAATGTCGTATTTCTTGGTGGAGCAAATTAGAAGAGAGAACTGACCGATTCCCTCTCCTACTTCCGATATTCCCAGTGACAACTGCAAAAGTCAGGATAATTGAAGGAATTATGACTCAAGGATAGAAGTTTTGTAAGTGAGCAGAAGTTACAAGTCTTACATTTCTCAAACCCAGCCCAAACATTCCCACTCCTGGTTTTGGTATCATCAGGAGGAAGGATACCATTGATGAATAGATCAGTAAATACCTATTAAGGGAAACTAAATGCCTCCATTGTCTACTCTTTCAATTTTTAACTGATGGTTTCTTAGGACACTGGATACTGGCAGGTAAAAGGAGATGAGAAAGTGCAGATCCATGTATTAATACTCACATACAAGGGCAAGGGTTCTTCCCCAAATTTTTTCAAACTAAACCTGCTCCTATTTCTTACATTCTTATGAAAACAGCAAATTTCAGGCTCAAGTCAGTCTTGAGACAAATGTACACTTTGGCAGTCAGGCAAGGGCCTAATTTGCGTGTCACACAACCAACATGAAAACTCAGCTCAGAGTTAGGTCACACTTCAACACAATCACATCAAACTAAAGAACAAGCTCAATGAACTAAAAATAGCCTACTCCTGCTCCTATAGTCCTAATTCTACATTCACTCCCCAGGTAAAGGCTTGAATTGGCCCACTGCGGGCAGGCTACCAGAAACCACATAAAATTGTGGAGAAGGCAGGGGTGATGGATGTATTTGGCACCCATTGAGTTTAAAGTGTCCTCCACCAACTGGGGAGTATTAGACAGTACAGGTGAAGGGGACACAGATAAAGGAGTTGTGTGGGATATGCAAGGCAGTATGGGATTGCATGGAATGGAAATTTAAAGATGTACTGTTCCAATATAAAATGCCAACTGCTGGTAGGAGGCTGTACTCATGGAACTGGAGTCCTCGCACGTGGGGTAAGGCTTAGGAATCATGGCATCCTGACCCAAATAAACTCAGACAAGAATAAAAAGAAATCACCACTCACTCTCAATTCCTTGAATTTGCTGCATGCCTTTGTTGAGCATTCAGCTGAAGCTCACACCAATCCACCCACAAGAGACTTTCAGAATGACGAAAATGCATCAGGGAGATGTCCCTCCATGGTTCCTGCTATTTTCACTTCCTCCGCACATCCTAGTCTGGTAGCCCAAAGCCAGGAAAATAGTACTGGTTGCTTTTGTCTTAGAAAAGTCAACTCATTGCCAGGCTTACCAGAATTATTAGACGGATGGCTGAGGGTCTTTGACAGATGATGCTCAATTTCACCGTAAATTATCAATAGCATAAATTCATGAGAAAACACAAAGCTGAAATGAATTCTAGCCAGTGATCGAATAGTTATTACCATCGTTAAAGCAATGTCAGAGTCCAAGATCACTTAAATACATCTATCTGGCATCCTCAGTGAGCAACTGGTTGCCTCATGCTGGACACTTGATTTCTCAACATAGTTACAAGTAGTGATGTCACTATACAGCAGTTAAACATTTACTAATTTCTTATTAGCAAACCATGTTATTTACACGCTTGATTGAGTCTGCAATAGTGTTCATCGAAATTGGTGGAACAATGAAAATATTAGCACAATTATGCATTAGACAGTCAAAATGCAGAAACATTAAACTCTAATAAAGCCATATTTGGAACACATTATCTACAAATTTGGATGTGATGTTGAACCTGTACAATTTTTTTGATGGATCTCAATGGCAACATGACCTGCATGCTTCAAGGATATTGATGTTAAAGGGAAGAAGCATGAGTTTGGAACTACTGAGATCATTCCCAATTCCAGATTAAAAAGCCAACTAGATGAAGTGAAAGAAATTAAACAATAAAATGTCAGAACAATTGGATTATTACAAGATTATTTATGTGAGCAGTTAATAAAAATTAATACCTGTGTTGCACTAAATGCAACATTTAACCAATGAGATATATACATTAAAAGAAAGGGAATGATAATAAGTTAGAGATTTAATTTTTTTATTTAACATGCTCCCTTACACTGCCCCTCACTCCCACTGACCCCCCCCCCCCCTTAAAGTTCTCTGACCCCACGGTCTCCAATTCCTCATCACTGCTGAACCTTAGTTCTACTTTGAAATTGCTTTTCTTGGCATTGTCAAGAAGAATAATTAAACTTAATAAATAATACACTGCTTCCACATTAGGGTCTTACCCTCTGTTTTTCATCTTCATAGACTGCTTCATGAACACAGCAAGCAAACAGCGATGTAGGAAGATTGCTCAAGTTCATAACCCTGGAGTCCAGACTGTCATAGTTCTCAAAGATCAGACCCTCTTGATCATTATCACGAAGGCTGGAGTGGTTTGAACTTTCAGGCCATATCTGTGCATTGTCTCTTAGCATTGTGTCACTGCCTGAGTCACCAGTTGATTGTTCTCATAAAAAAAACCCAATTAAAAAAGGTACCAATTTGAAAATATCTGTGTAAAAAGGGGGAATACAATATATTGAAATCAGTACAGTTTACAGCGACAAATCTTTTCCTGTTTAAAACTAAAGTTGATTTATGCAACATACTCACACAAATAATTTTATATTAAAAGCTAATATCTATCCACCCTACATCAAAATAAAATCAGAAGTCAGACAAGACAGGATTCAATTTAAATCAGGATATGGTTAAAAACAGTGATAACAGCATTATGTCCAATTAATGTTGTGTGTGAAAACAAGTCAATATAATGAAAGTATAACTCAGGGTCTTGTGCATAGTTGTGTCCCTACCTCTGGGCCAGAACGTCCTGGTTCAAACCCCACCTGTGTCCCACCAAAATGTGTCATAGAATATCTGAACAGGTTTATAAAACTAACTACAGAAAGTATGATAATGCTATAAATATTTTTATTAAGCTAGTTAAATAACTAAATCAAAAAAATAGCTTTAGCACATTCAAGATTCATATTTCACTTGAAGCACTTTATTGATTGATTTTTGTCCAATAATGGATGCATATCCCCCCTATTGTAGCTGACCTTACTTAGGTCTTGTGAAGATATTTTCTAAGTGAGATAAACTCATTCTCCCTCAGAGAAAGCACCTGGTCTCCACTGGAAGCTTATGCTGAGATTAGAAATGCACAGGTTGTAGCACTCCATGGTAAGATGCATCAGTGCACTTTTATGATTCCCAATCTACAAATGTCCAGGTAGCATTCTTTTTTTAAACTCACAACTGTAACAAAACAAACCCTAAACCAACTGAAGCCTGGTAAATCAATTCAGAATGATAAGTTATTGCAGGCCTGATAAGGTTCAACTATGATGAACACATAATATTAATAGGAATATTAATTAGTTGCATAATTTAAATTATTGCAAAAAGCTGTTGTACAGTTCTTCAACTGTGTTGCAGTTAGTATAACAGCAGTATCCTTTTGAGGACAGCAGTAGTATTAGTGCCTGGATCAAATAGAAAATAGAATCCTTAAAAACCTAATCGAAATGATGCTCAAGAAAAAGAAAGTTATTTTTAAACGAAAACAAATTGCAAAATCTTCTTGCTTTCACGTAACTGTAATTTGTGACATAAACCAGACAGTGTGAACTAAAATTTGAGAAAAAAAATACGAGTTTACATTGCTATTAATGTAGTTAAGTCAATTCAACTCCCTATTTCTCATCATGCTCATCTATTAAATTAAAACACAGAACAGAAACGTGTAAGATTTCAATATCATCCGCACACAAACCTGCAACAGCTCCTGGTGTAAACCCTCACTGCACCTTGCTAACGGACAAACAAAACTTGACTGGCATATTGATTGACATCAGATCCAACCAATCGCAAAACGGAAAAGTTGGACAGTTTGGCGATGATGTCATGACTGACGAATCGGCGTTCGGTGGGTGGAGCTAGAGGCAGCATGTTTGGGTGAGAGGTGGCTGGTTCACTGCGGGGTTACCTGAAGCACTGGCCTCCGGACCCGCTGCTTTTTACCTCCTTGGATTGGGGATTTGCGAAGTTTGACCTGATCCTTTATGTTGTGAGGGCTCCCGATTAAAAAAAAATATGCGCAGTGCATAAAATTTCCTTCAGTGGAAAATATTTGCATCGTTGTACTGCGCAATGTGAGCAGATCCATTGAAGTATGGCAGCTATGATAGGCGCAAGGGTAGCACTTTCCTGAATCAGCAGGTTTTGGGGCTCACGATCTGGGCAGATCAGGAAGGTAGACACTCCCAGCAACACAGCTTTGAGTGTCCTGGAGGTACCATATCTTCAGTGGAGATGTTAGACTGAGGAGCTGCCTGTCCTCTTAGATGGATTTGAAAGATATCAGGAAAGATTACGTGGCTTGGAGACACTCTATCAGTCTCCCAAGTACTGGGTGAACCTCTCCACCCTGGCAGCTGGTGGCAGACTATGAGTTAGGTGTGATAATTGACACCCATTATCCTTGGGGCTACTGAATTTGGAGCCTCAGGGATTCAAGGTTAGCCCCATGGATTTCAGGGAATAGGAATTTGTGGCTGCTGAAAGCTACCCCAAGCCTTTCTCTCCAACCCACACCAGGCCCATCCTCCCCTGTTTTCATCTGGAGTTCCTGACATTCCTGACTTTCTGCTGCTGGCAACATGAGGTGATGCCCTCTCCTGATGAGCTGGTAAGTCACAGTGGGTAGAACTTCCTTTACTTTCAAGGCCTGACTGTGATCACACAAGTTCCAGAAGGAACTGAAGGGAATTCCCTACTTGTTATCCAGTGTTCATCCCAAATAATCCCAATTCTCTGTATTTATACAGTGCCTTTCACAACCTCAGGTTGCCCGAAAATGCTTAAAGCAGTAAATACTTAAGAAGTGTGGTAATTGGTGTAAGTGCACACCAAACAAACTTCCACACACAGTAATTAAACAAAATAACCCAATCATCTATTTCTTAGCTATTTGTTGAAGTTTAAAACAAAAACAGAAATTGCTGAAAAATCTCAGCAGGTCTGGCAGCATCTGTAGAGAGAAATCAGAGTTAACATTTTGGGTCCAGTGACCCTCCTTCAGGACAGTTGAAGGATAAACATTGGCCAGGACAGAAGGAAAACTTTCTTTCCCCTTCTTCAAATAGTGCCAAAGCTGCTTTTATATCCAGATGACAGGACACCTTGGTCCTCAGCTTAACGTGTTATCTGAGAAACAATATTGACACTGCATTGACTGCAACACTCAGTAGCACAAACCTGATCATGGACCCAAATCACTGGGGTGAAACTTGAGCCCACACTGTTTGGACTCCAAAGCAAGTGTTCCACTACTGACTTAGCTGGTATCATGGCACATCACATTTAAAGAAGGGCAAAGGAGAGATTTGGGCAGCACAGTAGCTAGTTCTGCTGCCTCAGAGCGCCAGGGACCTAGATTAGATTCCAGCCTTGTGTGACTGTGTGGAGTTTGCACATTCTTCCTGTTTCTGCATGGGATTCCTCCACGTGCTCCAATTTCCTCCCACAGTCCAAAGATATGCAGGTTAGGTGGGTTGGCCATGCTAAATTGCCCATAGTGTCCAGGGATGTGCAGGCTGGGTGGGTTAGCCATGGGAAATGTGGCGTTACAGTGATAGGGGAAGGAGGGGGGCTTGGTCTGGGTGGGACGCTCTTTGGAGGGTTGGTGTGGACTCAATGGGCCGAATGGCCTGCATCCACACTTTTGGGATTCCATGAATTGGATGGGGGAAGTGGGAGTGGTGATGGGAGAAGTGGGAGTGGTGAAGGAGGGGTTCTGTTTGTTTCTCATCCATCAGTTGACACCTAGAATAAAAAGAACTTGAGTATTTATGTTATTAGAGGACCACTAAGTTCCCTTCAAGTGTCAGGATATAGAGAAAGACTGAGATTTATTTAAACTATCCAATTTACCTGACTGACAAACTCAGGTGAAAAGACTACATCACCAGGTTTGTATACCGAACCAGAAGAAAACTATTCATTATGAACAAATTTGCTTGAATCAATGGTAAAAGAAATAAATTATTCACAAAACTCTAGGACTCTCCCTTTCTTAACTCAAAAAGACATGAATTTTAAGAGTAAGAAGAACAGGGATAATGCAGTTTGATAGTACTAGTATAAAAATATCAAAATGACTGTGGAAAGGCAGTTATGGTGTCATGGTGGTGTTGCTACTTCTTGGTCTGAAGGCCCAGGTTCAAGTCCCAGCTGCTCCACTATCATGACATGGAGACAATAAGGACTGCAGATGCTGGAAGCCAGAGTCTACAGGGTGAGGCTGGAAAAGCACAGCAGGTCAGACAGCATCCAAGGAGCAGGAAAGGGTTTTGGCCTGAAACATTGACTTTCCTGCTCCTCTGATGCTGTCTGACCTGCTGTGCTTTTCCAGCCTCACACCCATAGACTATCATGACGTGTGACCAGATGGAATTAAAAAGATGTGGTCTTTGGACAATGGCATTAGGTTGGAGAAGTTGAGATTGTTAGCTTTGGAGGGCAGATTTGATCGCGGTGAACAAGAATATTACAGGTGGCAAGGCAAAACTATTCCTATCATCTGATTACACACAGACAAGAGAACAGAGATTTAAAATTCAGATTAAGAGGGATATGAGGAAGAATGTTTTACACAGTAGATAGTAACAGCCTACAATGTGATTTGTGAAGGAAACTGAATAGGTACTTGAGGGGAGTAAACCATGCAGGGTCATGGGGATAGAATGGGAATGATAGAAACTTGACAGCCCACATGGACTCAGTAGACCAAACGGCCTCCTTCTGTGTCATTTTGGTTCGACATTCTACTTTATATTTTTTCATTTTTTTCCCAATAATAGGTTTAACGTCCTTAGCTCCCTACAATACAAGGAAATCTAAAATCGAGGGAAGCTCAAAAGCCATTTCCATTTATGAAAGCTTACGAAACGTTGACCATTTGGCAGAACTATGGCAGGGTTTTGCACAAACAAAATTTTGTTGTATTTTGGCACGGCTCCATAGCCAGCGCTGAAAGGGTTAAGGCAAGGTGGGTGCGGCTTGACTGCATTCCGCTGAATTAATGTTGCTCCGAAACTCAATGAATTTTTTGAAAAATTCGACATTAAAGAAAGGAGACGGTGATCGATTGAAGTGAAATTCAGCAGCGTGTGTTTGAAGATGTGCAGAATAGGTAAGGTTCCTTTCGGTAAATCGCCAGCGTCAAATACAATGGGATTTAGCGAAGCGAGTGAAGCAAGTGTCAGAAAGTTTTGTTTTGCAGCCCAGCAGGTTTAGTGGAGGATACAACAAAGTAAGTGTTCAAGGGTCTAGGCCCGAAACGTCAGCCTTCCTGCTCCTCTGATGCTGCTTGGCCTGCTGTGTTCATCCAGCTCTACACCTTGTTGTCTCTGAAATGCATCGGGACTTGGTTTAATTTGACCTTTCCTTCGGTGTATTCTATACAAATTTGCAGTAGCATTTCCAAACTCAGTGGCGAAAAACTAACATGCTCCACAGTGACCCACGAGGACATTGCTGTGAAGAAATCGGAGGAAAAAATAGGAAGTACTTAGTACTGTTCCGAAACGGAGATATCTGTTTTAAGACATACAAGACCAGCTCGGATCAGTACCAAGTGTTGGTGGTTTTCGCTTTTGTTGCAGCCGTACAAGCTGATTTCATCCGAGTTACAACATTTCCCAAGTAATCATTAAAGCAAAGACCATTTAACAAATCTGGTCAAATCCTCTCGATATTTTATGCAAAGTATATTTATTTTGTTATCACTTTTTAAATGATAATTTAGAATCAGATGGTAGATGTTAATATTAACTTGAGATTGAATTGCTAAACTCATTCCCGAAGTCGGGTTTGTTGCTAATGTCGAGCAGAGTTGAAATACACAGGAGCTTCTAAATTGATTAAAGGTGCATTATGTAATCCTACATTTGATAAGAACCTTGTGCTTTCTTGCTGTTCTGGATTACCAGTTATTGTTTGGAGCTACATCTAGAGATCTTGTTCATAGGGGACATGATATTTTAGTACTTTGAGACAAACGGCAGTGCCTTCCATCCAAGGGATGGAATGTAATATTGTGTTAAGACACATCGTGCAGTGAGTAGAGTGATCGAATGAATATATTGGTAGTGCTTATGATGGTGATGTCCGGAAACGGTAAGCTTTTTAGTAGCAAAGCAGAAAGCAACCGTGTGGAACAATTTGTCAAAATCACTAACGTCAAATTTTTTACTAAATTTGAATCTACCCAGATAGCTTATATTGATTATTACATCTTTAACATAATAAAATAGGCCAGGATGCTTCATAGGAACATTATTAAACAAAAAAAAATTTGACACCGGGCCAAAGAAGGGAGACATTGGGTCAAATGACCAAAAGCTTGGTCAAAGAGGTTGGTTCTAAGAAGTGCCTTAATGGAGGAAAGCAAGATTAGGAAGGGGAGAGAAAAGAGATTTAGGTTGCTTTTTAATGGAGGTGACAGAGCTCCTGCAGACCAGCAGGCTCAGTGTTGCCTCTTTCGGGGAAGACCCATGGATTCAAGTGTCACTTTAGCGACTTAACTGGACAGAAGTGGGCCTTCCTGTGATCAAGGTCTCTGGGGACAGAAGTCCTGCCCACTGAGAGAAGCCAGGCAGCCACTGGTGTACAGTTATATGATGGTGCGAGGGGAATTGTGTCCTGTGGGGAGAAGGGGTCAGCAGAAAGAATGGGTAGGTAGCTCTCAGTAGGACCCCCACTTGCTAACGTAGTGTTCCTCAATCAGGCACTGAATGTCATTGAACAAAGGACTCTCGCGTGGAGTCCACAAGGAACCCACATATCCATGATATGAAGCCTGTATGGCAAGTGCCTCATATGGCTCTGCATTAATACCAGTTAGCAGGGAGATTGAGCCTTTAGATGGGCATATTTGTAGGCTTAAATTTGTAATGAAAGCTCAATTTGCAGTGGGTAGGAAAGACCTTCATGCCACAAACATAATCAGGGTAGAGGTGGGAAATTGTTACAGAGATAGTAGGAACTGCCGATGCTGGAGAATCTGAGATAAAAAGGTGTAGAGCTGGATGAACACAGCAGGCCAAGCAGCATCAGAGGAGCAGGAAAGCTGACGTTTTGGGTCTAGACCCTTCTTCAGAAATGACTTTGACAAGTTCCCCGGCTGCTACGGTCCTTCCTGTTTAAATGCCCACTTCCACAAAATTTGCCATGGGGTGGACATTAAATTTTGCCCATAACGAGAGTACTTCAAAAGTTATGCGTTAGGCGACTGAAGGTATGGCCGTCAGTGGTGGTTTAATTAAAATCTGGTATACTCAAGGGGCCAGAGTTAGATGAGTTCAGATATCTGGAAATAAAGTATACTTTATTTGAATTTAAAGCTCCAACCTCTCTGAATCCCTATATTTCTTTGTTATTTGTACCTGCCAACCTGTCATCTGAAGCCCACACAATCTTGATTTAGAAAGAAATTCAACTTTTTTTTCATGTTTGCATCTTAGTTAAAATACCTTTGCAAATATCAACCAAATCAGTTTCATGCAAACAGTTAGCAGTTCAGGAAGTAGGTTAAAGAAGAGTACAAAAATATGGTAAATTGGAATTTCATATTTATACTTTGAAATGATTGCTTTTATAGAAAGACAGTCTGAGCATAATGCAAGACACCTTCAGGATGGTTAAATTTGATTTCAAATCATGCTTAACATTTATAATTGTTAATAGGACATAATGGAAAGTTTTCTTAAAAAGCCTCAAAAAGAAGATTAAACAAAATAAAAAATGTTTTAAAGAATTGGTTGTGTGAATGTCTAAAAGACGTAAGTCTTTCAGACATTGACAGAAAGTTTAATATGTGTTTATGTGAAAGGCAAGAATGAGCAATATTCTATTATTCCTATTTCATCCTTGCAGGCACTGGGTTCTGATCTAAATGTAAACATAATTATAATTGTGGTAACTCTGTTTAGGTACCAGTAGGTCTATAAAGATGCTTCTGGCCACATTTAATCATTTACTGCAAAACAAAAGCTTGTACAACATGTGTAGCACCAGTATGCTATCTCTTTGTTGTTAGGAAAAATTATTAGGATACCTAAAGCCAAAGATGCTTTGCTCCACTTAAATCAATGAAATTAAATGTATTTAAGAAAATGACAAACTGGAAAGCACTTACCACTCATTTCCACCTGTCCCAGGCAATTATGATGCCTTATACATCACTTTTACTCCCTAGAATTACATGATTTCCTGACAAACAGCCCATGCGAGCTCTCCTATTCAAAATGTTGCATGATATTTTTGCAGCTTTTAGCTTATTTCAGATCCATCACAATACAATTTCATGATTAGCTCATAACAGTAATGCCTTGACCAATGGCACATTGTCATAATTTGACCTTTTTAAAGTTGAATTTTGTTTAGTCAAATCACACATTATTTAAATCAAACACGGGGAGGAATTATTTGGCTTCTTTTGTCGGATATTTGGAGGTAGGGAGGGTATTTAATCTGATGCAAACACCCTGCTGCATTGCCATTTTTGCCAAAATTCAGTCCATGGTTGGAAGGCTTTTGGTTGGATTTTCTACACATTTGTCAATTGAGGTTCTTACCTGATTAATTAATAAAGGCCTCATTCCACCACTGCTGGAAATAAACCAGTTGTGAGCGACCCCATTGCCATTGGGTGTGCTTGACAAACAACCCTGAGCAGGGCTAGGGATTCTGCATACAAAGGCCCTCAATACCCAATTAAGGGACTTGGTATTGGCAAGGAGGGCGACCCCTGAGACCCACCCACTTGGTGCTGAACCCTATCCTATGAAACCGCTCGCTCCATGACTTACATCTGACCTGGATCATTCTCAATCATGGACCTTTTGTGACTGTCATTCCAACAGCAGACAGTGCCTCCTTGACGATGCTGTTGAACTCTTGGGTGGGATTTCTACCCTCAGAGCCCATAGTCTTGGGGAAGGCCCACTGGTGGCCACTCAAGAAGTATGTAATTGGCAGCTTTTCCCACAGGAGGAAATCAGGTCTCTCGCTGGCTCTCCAACCAGCAGTCGAGACTCTTATGTGTTTTTATGAAATCCAACCCACTCTCATTATCAGTTGTTTCACAGATTATTGTTACTGACACTGTTTCTAACTCAGACACCATTATAATCACATTATTTGGCCAATGTATAATGAATGGCCATAAAAAAAATTTCCACCAAAAACAAAATCATTTTCATGGAATGTCAACACACTTTAAGGAAATTTGAAAAGGCTAAAGAGAGGGTAAAAAACTTGGCAGATGGGATACAATTTGGAAAAATGCAAGGTTATCCACTTTGGTATGAAAAGAACAGAAATACAGATTATTTCTTCATTGGTGAGATCCTGGGAAATGTTGAACTTCAAAATGTCTTGAGTGTCTTTGTTCACGAGTCACTGAAAGTTAACATGAAGGTACGGCAAGCAATTAAGAAGACAAAGGATATGTTGGCCTTTATTGTACAAGAGTGTTTACATAAGGGAGTAAAAACGTTCTACTGCAATTGTATAGACCCTTGGTGAGATTACAGTTGGAATATTGTGTGGAGTTTTGGTCTCCTTACCCAGGAATTGATACATGCACTGCAAAGGCAGTGCAACAAAGATTGACCAAACTAATTCCTGGGAGATAGTAAGAACTGCCGATGCTGGAGTCAGAAATAACACAGTGTGGAGCTGGAGGAACACAGCAGGCCAGGCAGCATCAGAGGAGTAGGAAAGTTGACGTTTCAGGTCAGGACCCTTCTTCAGAAATGGGGGAGGGGGAAGGGAGCTCAGAAATAGAGAGGAGGGGTAGGACTAGGGTAAGTAGATGGGATGGTGATAGGTACCCTAGACCCACCCCTCCTCTCTTTATTTATTTCTGAGCTCCCTTCCCCCTCCCCTATTTCTGACGAAGGGTCCCGACCTGAAACGTCAGCTTTCCTACTCCTCAGATGCTGCCTGGCCTGCTGTGTTCATTCAGCTCCACACTGTGTATCCTCTAATTCCTGGGATGGATGGATTGCCCTTTGAGGAAAGATTAAGTGGACTGCATCTATATTCATTTGAGTTTAGAATGATCAGAGTTGATCTTATTCAAGCAAATAAAGTTCTTACAGGGTAGATGCAGGATAAAGGTTTTCT